GCCCTATCAGGCGCTAACTACTGGTCCTATGCCATCTGGCTAATAACTCCCTTTGTGTATGCCTGCGTGTTTGCTGGAGATTTACAGTGTTCTGTTTGTAGTGGGACCGTGCTTCCAACTGTATCATTTATAGTGCCAACTCACTTGAATACTACAGAACAGATACCGCAACATCCACCCCAAACCATTTGATACTCCACCTGGTTTGTTGGAGCTGTGTGGTATAACACAACAGAACATAACAGAACATCCGCTGGTCTTACCCCATTTCTACTTCCCTAACGCAATTCATGTCCCCACATCCCGTTTCCTTTAATCGAGCCGCTATACATATACTTATTCTGAGCCGATTCCCAGGCTACAACTTGTACTATCATATCCCCTAGCTTCAAATCGACACCATACCTGTTACATGTCACCACAACGCTATCCTAGCACCATCCATTTCCCATGATGCACCACGTACCATCAGTACCATTTCCTCTATCCGATCAAATTCCAAGGTAGCCAACATGCATATCAAGCGTACAGCACTCTTGGTGAATTCCACTTTACATAGCGTCATTGTAATGTGTCATAAGACCACTTAATCTTATAAGATTCTCTCACTAACTCAATGTGCGTGGTCGTAGCTATTCCCTTATGTTTACCTCCTACCTGACGCATATGCAACACTGGGTACCAGGAGGACGAAACAGGAAAACACACAATCTAAATGTGTATTGTTAACAGTTAAGAGCATTGCTTTTATGTTAGCGGGCCCATTTATGCATATCAGATGGCATGTTGTGGCAAAATGTCTTAAGATTGTATCAGGGTTGAAAAGGTTATACAAAATTATCCAAAAATAAAATGAAAAATAAAACAAATGTCAAATAAGCTTAATGTTAAGCGTCATTGTATATCAATATACTTTTTATTACTCCTGCATTTCCTATGTATCTAATAATTGATTTCGACATGGAAATTTAATCCACTTTGTGAGTCTCTATGACTGTTAAATGGTTTATCCGGCGTGAGTGGATGGAATGTGATATTACTCTAGTATATAACCCACTCAATCACTTATTGTTCTTAATTTCAACCCACACGTCTAAGGATGATAATATTGCATTTTATCAAATTACGCATACTCGCTTTATTGTATTTATCCTTAATTGAAATTTGACTATCAAAAAGTATATTTTCCCCATAAAATTTGAAGTGTTTCTGTTAATATTTGTTCTTTGACATTTCATGAGACACAAACTGTTTTTAGAAAATTGTCACTGTGTGTTTTCATCATTAAAGGCGTTTGGTAGCTTTTATAATATGTAGCTGCTTAGAAAGATATTACTCTGTTTAACTTAACACTACGCGACCATGCAGCCAATAGAAAGTTGTTTAATGAGCTACGAACGATTTCATGGATTTTCAGTGTCTAAATCGCCAAAGATTTTACTCCAATTATAATAATAATATAACCTAGTGGTAAAGAGTTTATTCATCATAGCCTTTTCAATATTGTAATAAGTCAAAATTATCCTAAAAATGTCTATATTTATAGAACTCTTTTGGGAAGGAGGTGCATATATGTCACAATAAGGAAGCAGTGGTTAAACAAGGGAGATAATTCGTTAGCTTCGTGTTCAATTGTTGTTAGAAAGATACCATCCGTCACGCTTTACGATTGACACATGAGAAGACAGAATTATATTATTTGATATATTCCCTTACATATCTACAAAGGATATAACTGAATGAGATTAACATCAACGCAAAGAGATTTGAATATTCTGTTGTAATAAGATGTTTAAAAGAAAAAGAAAAAAATAAAAAAAAAATATGAACTCTTATAGTAAGTTAATTTGTCATCGTTTTCACAATAGTTGATTTGAAATCCTTTACTATTTAGATACTTAAAACGGACTTATTTTAGTGGTATTCTTATTCTAGCGGCTTTTCACGTTATCTTTCAGACGCAAGTATGTACAGCGCTAATAAGAAAATTAAGTACGTTTGCTCCAGGGAAAAGTAATTGTGCTATTTTAAGAGTGGTTTAATGTATTGTATACGTCACTGATCGCTCAAGTATGAATGCGCCAATTAGTATTCGGAAGTTAATTAACAGTGCTGTATAAAGTCTTAATATCGACAAATGTTCTTTTTATATCCAGGGGGAAAATGTATATTTTTCTCGATGGTAAGGTCTCAAGTCATACTATGATAGAAAAAATACTGTCGCCTTAAATCCTTATCGAACGTGACTTTGCCTACAGATGAAAAGGAGCATGGTCAATAAAGATGCTGATGCTGAAACTGTTTTTTAAGAAATGCAAACCCAGCGGAAAGAGGCTTCCTTATACATTGTTATTTATTACTTTTACTGAGCTCAGACAATTTCTTGAAGGTAAATTACAGTGACATCTTTGGGCAAAAGAGTACTGTAAGTAGAATACCTTGCATAGTTAACGTCTATCATGTCCGTTCAGTTTATCTAATGTTTGAAATCTTACATTTAGTAGAAATTGGGCAACTGGGTCTGTCATGGTAGTTTAAAATTAGACATGACGTAACCTATTCTGTTAGGAGAAACGTCAACCAAACCTATATCACTCCCATGAAAAAAACAGGCTAGATAAGAATTTGTTTAACTCGGTATCACACGTGTTGCTATCGCAATAACGGCGTTTAAAATCTCCCGTGGTATTTCCAGAATCTTACGTTTCTAACTGAAATCATTCTGACGTGTGCTCATGTATATTTAGACATTGTTTCCCCCACAGGGCGGAAATGTAAAGTTGCTTATACTTTTCATTACCACATGTGCATTTTATTTGTTCTAAAACTCACTTTATATGCAATAGAAAATAAACACGTAGGAAAGGATTGTATATCGGTGTTCCTAGACCATCCTAATTTGTCAACGAAGGAAATCAATGATTTTTTTTTTTATTGCAATAACAAATCCTCGGAACTTTTACGAATACATTGATCAGTGACTATCGTGAATTAATAAAGAATATATAAATATATACAGTAGTATATCGTGTTTCTGTGTCGTTATTGCCAGAGACAGACACAAAGCTAAATGGTTACCGATATCGTTTACAAATAAAGCCAGTCAGGACCATTTATTTCAATGTGAGACAAAAATATTTAGACATTGGTTCACCAACCCAGTAAAACAAGCAAAAAAGGACTCCAGAACGTCTACAGACAGAAGTCGACTGCAAAGTAGCGTTGCGTCACTATAAACGAAGCACATACAATGTCAACCCATAGGAAGGATAGAGATTCTTGGTTTGGTGTATTCCGTCTTTGCGTATTGCAGAGTTATCTTCTCTTGTGAGCTGGTATTGATTGTTACGTCAGTGGTTTGTGTGATAAAATTACATCGTTTTCTCAAATATTGATGACGTTACTCTCACAAACCGATGACGTAACAATCAATACCTGCTCACAAGAGAAGATAACTCTGCAAAACGCAAAGACGGAATTCCATGAGAAGATAATTTCTTTATCTAAGGAAAGGTTTCACATTGACGTGTTCAAATTCTTTGTCCTTACGAGTTTGTCTTGTCTGTTGTTACGATATGACTGTTTAATCTAAAGGAACAAAAAGGAATTGTTTTTGTTATCAGTGAAGCTTACAAGTGAAATGAAAACATACACAGACATGCACACAGACAGGCAGATAGACAAACATTCTTTATTCCCTGACCAAAAGTATTTTATAGCTTCATATTTATGATTCAGTCCGGAATACCTCCGTGCGGCCTCTAAGTAAAAAGCTACACTGATTCTGTTAAATTCAATTTTTGTAAGCAATATACATGTATAATCGAATAATAGTTTAAGATTTTAAGGAAATTGCTCACAAAAATACCGCTCTTTTCACTGATCAGATTCAGTAGATAGAAAAAAGACGATTTTAATGAAACGTTGAATTTTTGATGACAAATACATCTTTGTGAACTTTTTGCATACAAAAATACTAATATAGATTCAAAGCCTATGTCAAGATACCTAGAACGCTTTGAATAAGATTAATTTTCGCGTGTGATTTAGTTCTTCCGCGAATATGAATTCCATAATAAATCATCATCAATATTGAAAATGCATTTTCTTGATCGTCTTTTAAAGTATTCGCGAAAAAACCCGAGGATGGTTCATGAAATAAAGTACACGCGAACTCAAACAATTGTACAGTACTCAAACTTTGTTTCCGAAACGCAATTAAAGCTGTACAGTTGGTGTCAATATAGACAATTAAAGTAGCACCGTCGGAAGTTGATACAGACAATAAATATTGTACCGTCAGTCGCTCAAAATGCAATTAAACGATCAGTAGTTCATACAAATACCTAAAAGTTCGTACAAACAATCAAACTTGTACCGCCGGTCACTCAAAAGGCAATAAAACAATCAGTTACTTCAAAGTTCGTACAAACAATCAAACGTGTACCGCCGGTCACTCAAAAGACAATTAAACGATCAGTAGTTCATACAAACAATCAAACTTGTACCGTCAGTCGTTCAAAAGACAATTAAACAATCAGTAGTTCATACAAATATTTCAAAGTTCGTACAAACAATAAAACTTGTACCGCCGGTAGTTCACACAGACATTTGAACTTTTAAAGATTGCAGTTCATGTAGAATATGATAAGGACTTTTTTTCAAATTCTGGTATATGTAGTATACGTTCATGTTCAAATAATTCATATTTACAATTCAGATGGTTAAAACTTTGAACGGTTACAATGTTGTATGATAAAATATAAATAAAAAGTACCATTTAGGAACTTTTATAAAGAATATAGTCAATTTCTACAAATGGAGTACAAAGTACTATTATTTAAACGGCTCTGTATGTTTATACACAGAGGTAAAATAAGCAGGGACATTTTTGATAGTCAAAATATACCAGTTCCATAAAACTTTACACAAAAAAACATGATTTCATAGACAAGATTATATTTGCAAGTAAGAATGAAAGGAGTAAAATGTCAACATACCTTTACGTAGTAATATTAACCAATCTTACAGGCTGAAACAACGGCGCCCGAAGTAACACGTTTTGTTAAAATTAATCCGTGCGGATGGCCGTAAACAAATGTCAAATGCTGCTTTAATCCTTTCTGTACCGTCCCATGTGTATGCCGTGTTTGCTATAGAACGTACAACACTGCAGCGGAATCATTGACGGTTTGTCTGCTTCACACCGCGACCACAGCAGAGATAGATACAATATGTCCTCTGCTGATAATGTATCGAACGTTTACTGAACTTCGGAGCCTACATGCACTTATCGTTGCCGACAACATCGCGTTTTATCAGCCAATATGATCTTTCGTTTTTGCTTACTCATATACACATATTACAGATTATGTTATTGAAAATAATAACCTATGATATTTTTTTCATATATATTTGTAATGGGCACACATCAATATATCGGTCTGTCGGAGAAAAACTGGTATCATAAATATGCATTAGCACAAACGCCGCCAGGATCGACCAAAATATGCAACAGTGTCCGAACTTATCTCGGCCTAAACAAGCTATTGTATTCATAAACGTCACTGGAACCTATCAAAAATACGTAGTACTGTCGAAACATAACAAATATGAGAGTCTCATCAGTGAGATTTCACGGGACGTACCTATGATACTGTGACGCAAGAAACGCTTTCTCTTCCGGAACACCTGGTTTCAAGGCCCGTTTTTTTCCGTTGCGGTCCGGGATAATATTCCGCCGCTTTGATCTGCCCTATTCCAATAACTATCTTTTGGTAATGATTTTGAGTTCTGATTTTGTCCCTAAGTGTTGACGCACTGTTTTTAAGTGTTTTTTTATTTTTATTTTTTATTTGATAGCACTGGGCGGAATGCTACAAAAAAACGGGTTTGTTAAATTCTAAATTAAATAAACTGAAGGTATATATACATGTTATATATATAGTATAAATAACTTCGAGATTTAATTTGAAACGTCGTGAATTATATAATTATAGTACATATATTTTGTAAATATATACCAGCATGCCAAGAATTATTAAAAATTTTGCTGTTAGTTTTTGTCACGATTGCGCCTGAAACGTCGATATTTATCAACGCTGAAACTTTACATGCTGTACATGAGTTAATGTTTGCTGTTAGCAATGTTCACCTGAAATGGTGAGAATTTGAATTGACGAAAGAAACCATTACAGAAATCAAATTGTTTCCAAGTAAATATTTTGGGGAGCTATTTAAAATCTGAATCGACTCTCATTGTGAATTTACGTGAAAATATTTATCTCGTCAATTCTAACTGTTTACAGTAAGCCTGTCGATCTGATGATACAAGGCGATGTCGTTAAAGTAGACGATAGGGAGGTGGGATCGTAAGATGCACTTATAGGCTTCGGCAATAATTCGCTATGGGTTGACACTAGCACGACACAATCGCACCAGGACGTCAAAGTAGAAACACCAGATGTAATCAATAGGAATTGCCCGAGCGACATGAGAAATTAATTCCTAATCTAGATTTTGCAGTAGAACCGGAAAGAGACCCAGTAAGACCTGGTTTGTTCATTTGCATCGCAGCATTTGTAAAACAAATACATCAAGATTCTAACAAACTCCTCTAAATTCACTAATAACATATAAAAAAAAACAACACGGCCTTTCATTAGTGGCAATGTTGGGAAAATGTTTACCGGTAATGACGGCATGCAATGAACACAGTGCTTAATGAGCCGATATGTCACGTGACTGTCAACATGGCCAGTGTATCAAGACGGAGGTTCTAATACGACCGATACACTTGTTTAGTATCGCTCGTTTAAGTGGTGTTTATACGGCATTAAGGGGCACCTAAGTCACGTCATCTGGCGTGTTTCGTTTGCAATGGTTAATTAGTGGGGGTGTTCTACCTGGCAACATTACGACCAATGTCAGTGGTAGGTACAGCGGCAATAGTTATAGTGGTAATAAACGGGGTGTCTGTGGAGCTCATCTTACACAGCATGACGCAAATGTAGTTGTGTTCTGTTCTGTAAATGCCTTGTTAATGATGGAAGTAAAATGTAAAAATACTAAATGAGTAAAGTAAACACCGAGGAGATTTTTCAATAGTACACTTTATAGTTTTAGTGATGGATATATTTAGCAACATTTCAAGGTTGTAGGTATTAGGCGTGCATTGCTCATTTGGCAGATTTTAATTGTACATAGGATTACGGTCGCCTTCTGGCTTCGAGCTAGAGGGAATTTCCCTTTAACTCAGTGTTAGAGAGTCCGACTAGGAACCTAGTGATCGCGGGTTCGATCCCCGGTGGAAGGACACTATTCTCTTTCCTGTTACACTCTTCTCCGATCACACGGACATAACGGGAGGCCTGGCTTAGTGTTCCAGCAAAATGTATTTATAAAGTTTTGTCACTTTATGCATTTAAGATGCTATTATATAAGCTGAACTGCAAATAAACATAATGCCACATAGTGTCGAACGGTATGTCGGGGCTATGTCGAAAATATACCTGAATAATGACGTCATTTTACCATAACATTAATGGGGCCGAAGTATTTGGAACTCACTCGAGTTTGATTCGTCGATATGCTCATTGAATAACAAGTGAAAATATAAAGCCAGATAACGGTAAAACCATAGATATGGATATTCTACCAGAGGGTGTAAAATTTGGGTCAGAAATGAGGCTATGCCGAGGTTCTGACACCAAAGTCTGCACCTAGGGTAGAAAATCCATATCCAACATACCTACATCACGATTTTTTCTCCCACTTTTTAACCAAAGGTTTGTTAAATCAAGACATAGACATTGCACATGCAACAATAATACTGCAAAATGTGTAGATATAAAAAGTAAATCTCAGTTATAAAAGGGAACCTGTCGAACAGTGTTGTATGCTATTCAATTGGTATTACTTGCCGACGGAAAGATTGTAACAGTCAGTCAAACGACGTTTTTACGCGCTTTCAATTGTAACGTCATGATAAAACGCTGTCATTTGATTGTGACGTCACACGTATACCACATGAGTGCTCAATAGGTGGGAGAAATGTATAAGACATTATTATATGCTTGAAAACTTCTCGCAATCACATTGGCCTGATCCTATACACTTGACCAGTCCTCAAAAACTTATGTTGACTGGTTATCCAGTGAATATTGATTTCTAAATATAGCCTATTTTGAAGTTCCCTTCAACCTGTTCCAGCGCATGCGCAGTTAGACCCGAACGTGATCTGTCAGACGACAACAGAAGATGACTGCTGGCGAACGGTTTGCCTCCGTTACATCTAAAAATGTCAAAAAAACAAACTGCTCGAAGATAAAAGATGCTGTTAAAACAAAAAAAGGCCACCGATTTACTCTCAAAGTTCAGAGTTTTATATCATTTGTTACCAGCTATATGGTCAACATATATACTCATCAATACATAATTGTGGTAACGAAGTAATCCTATATACACATCAATATATAATGTTTATACCAAAGGAGTAAGATAGATAGGTATTAATTTGTGTGCATTTATCGTGTTTTGAGGATCCAAATATTTAGAGACAGACCAGAACTCACCATGGTTCAGTGACCACACTACTGACCACTATCAGCTATACCGCAGTGTACTAGTTGACACTTACCTGTACACCTGTATTGAACATCTATATTTATTGTGACAAGTGTATTTTTGTCTGAAGTGAAAATGACTTCTACCAGAAGTGCGAGCACCAGCAATAGTAAAGGACAGTCGAAGGGTCCTCATTCTGGAAGACTTAGTGACATCTCAAGGGGGAAAATGTCTACAGACGAAAAGCTGGATAATATTTATGTTATCCTATCAACGCTCAAAGAAGACATACACTCACAGATGATAATTCTAAGAGAGGATATCAAAAAGGAAAACAGAGAACTTGTTGAAAGACTTGAGAGTCGTGTTTTTGATCTCGAGGAACAGAATGATGATTTGAAACAGACAGTTAGCAAATTGGAGCAACACTTGGGAGAATCTGAAGATAGGCAATGTGAACAGGACAATAAACTGAATGATCTTGAACAGCATGGAAGGAAAAACACTATTCGAATAGTGGGACTTGAGGATTCCAACAAGAATGAAACTGTTGAGGAATGTGTTGAAAAGATTGTGAAATTTGTATATGACAAACTGAATGTCACAATTGTTGAGGCAGACATCGACATAGCCCATAGACTTGGTGTGTACCAGCGGGGTAAACCTCGAAATATCATCTGTAAGTTTACCCACCGTAGGAGAAAATTTGAGATCATCAAACAGAGGAAACTACTAAAGGGAACACGATGCTACATTATGGAGGACCTTACCAGGATCAATCAACAGAGACTTAAAGAGGCTTTTGAGCTCAGGTGTGTTGAGAGATCCTGGAGCACTGATGGGAAACTGTTTGTGTTACTGAAAAACGGGAGAAAACGGAGAATTCTAAATACAACACGATCATGACTGAGGCTTTCCTAATGAACGATGACAATTTTACCCGTAAGTGAACTTATCTGTGAAATCAGTGACTTTTCTATGTACAAAAAAAAACATTATTAAGAAAAATTATGTGCATATATAGATTGATCAGATAATGACATTATATGATTCATATTGTATATTCGTTTCATATGGCTTGGTGATACTTTACAAGCTAATATCAGATACGTTTTATTTTTGCTACCTTTAGTCCGCATTCGTTCCAGGTTTCATATTATTAGTTATGTGCGCAAACTTCCGGACAGGTTGTTGACTTCCGGCTGAATTTTGAAAGTTTGTAGTATGGAAGACAGAACAGCGATTGAGTAATGTAATCATTTATATGTATGTATGTTTGTAAATGTTGATGGTAGACTATGTATATAGGTATAAATGATATGTAGTCATACTTTTTGTGTGTGTGGGATGAATCCGATAGAAAGATTATTGTGCAAATAAGGAGTGAAAGAATGGATGAAATTGGAAAGAATGCACGAGGTGTAAGATTATAGGTAAACAAATAGATTATGATTATGTATAGTTGATAGTGTGTCAGTTTCGTTTGACCACATTTATATGTTTTTCTGTGTCTTTTCCTTCTGTCTATCAATGCTTCTTTCTCCTTTCTTCTTTTGTGTCAGTGTCATTATAATTACTATCCTGGCATGGGGCCCTCTCATGTCTTCTCCCGTTGTCTTAGGCAGTGTCATATATATGTTGAGTGAGTATAAGCTGTTTATACAACTGATTTGTTGATGGTATAAAAATAATATCAGCAAATTGCCAAGGTTTAGGAGATAGAAATAAAAGAAAAGATGTATTTTCTTACTTGAAAAATAAAAACTATAATATTTTCTGTTTACAGGATACACATTTCACTCATGATATTGAAAATATAGTTCGAGCAGAATGGGGTTATGAATGCTATTTTAATTCATTTAGATCAAATGCAAGGGGGGTAGCAATATTTTTTAATAATAATTTTGAAGTAAAGGTAATGCAGGAAAGAAGGGATTTGATTGGGAATTTTCTGGCTCTTGATTTGAAGATAGAAGGTAGAAAAGTAACTTTAATAACATTATATGGCCCTAATTCAGACAATCCAGCTTTTTATGAAAATTTAACAGATACTATTAATGCATTTGGCAATGAATCTTATATAATATGTGGTGATTTTAATTTAATTTTGAACCCTAAATTGGACTATGATAAAAGCTATAAACATATAAACAACCCAAAAGCCAGAGATAAAGTAATTGAAATTATAGAAGAGTTGGGAATGGTAGATATATACAGAGAACAACATCCGGAGCACAAAAGATACACTTGGAGGAGAAGTAACCCTGTTAAACAAGCTCGTTTAGATTTCTTTCTTATTTCAGACAGCTTATTACCAAGTATTCATTATTCAAATATCGAGCCAGGCTATAGAACTGATCATTCGCTTCCTATTATTGCTTTAAAATTTAATGAATTTAAGAAAGGTAAAGGATTATGGAAATTTAATAATTCACTCTTGTATGACTTAGACTACCTAGAACTTATTAATAAACTTATTTTAGACATTGAAAGACAATATGCTCTTCCAGTGTATCTTTTAGAAAACATCAATAATATTCCTGATTCTGATATACAATTCATAATAAGTGATCAACTTTTTTTAGAAACACTTTTAATTGAAATTCGAGGCAAAACCATTTCCCACTCTTCATATAAGAAAAAACAACAGAATTTAAATGAAAATAATCTTACAGATACTATACGTAAACTAGAAGATAGTAGTGATGTTGATATAGATAAAGTGAACGAAAAAAAACAGGAATTACAAAATATCAGATTACATAAATTAAAAGGTAGTATAATCCGATCTAGAGCTAAATGGGTAGAAGAAGGTGAAAAGCCAACAAATTATTTTTTTAACCTAGAAAACAGAAATTACACCTCGAAGTTAATACCGATGATAGAGAAACGCAATGGCGATAAAATAACAAAGCAGGTAGAAATTCTTGATGAGGTAAGAAATTTTTATGAAAAATTGTATACAATTGATAATGATATAGAAGATGTTCATATAGATGATTTTTTAAAAGATATTGATATTCCAAAATTAAGTAATATAGAATCTAACAAACTAGAAGGTATAATTACTCTCAATGAAGCTTCAAATACTTTAAAAACTATGAAAAAAAATAAAAGCCCAGGCTCTGATGGGTATACAGTAGAATTTTTTAAATGCTTTTGGAAACAACTAGGTACTTTTATAGTCAAATCAATTAATTTTGGGTTCAATCAGGGTCAATTATCAATCACACAAAGACAGGGCATAATTACATGTATACCTAAGGGAGATAAGCCTCGACAATATCTTAAAAATTGGAGACCAATTTCTTTACTTAATATTATTTATAAAATTGCATCAGGATCAATAGCTAGCAGAATAAAAACAGTTTTAAATAAAATTATTAATACAGATCAAACAGGATTTATTGCAGGGCGCTATATTGGGGAAAACACTCGAATTGTATACGATATCATGCAATATGCGGAAGATAGGAATATACCTGGAATGTTGTTAATCATTGATTTTGAAAAAGCTTTTGACTCTGTTTCTTGGAAGTTTATTGATGAAGTTCTGGATTATTTTAATTTTGGGGAAGATATAAAAAAGTGGGTCAAAATTCTACAAAAAAGGCAAGTTCAGCTATTAATCAAGGGGGAAATTTGTCTCCATTTTTCGAAATTGAAAGAGGCTGTAGGCAGGGGGACCCCATAGCACCATATATATTTATAATGTGTGCTGAAATTTTAGCCATTAGAATAAGGAACAATAAAAATATAAAAGGTATTGATATTGATAATAGTCCTATTTTACTGTCTCAATATGCAGATGACACTTCACTGATTTTAGATGGAACAGAGAAATCACTAAAAGAATCAATTGATGAACTAAAAACTTTTGCAAAAATATCTGGATTAAAAATAAATGTTTCTAAAACACAGGCTATTTGGATTGGGAGTAAAAAATATAGTGATGAAGTTGTGTACCCTGAATTGAATATACAGTGGGGAAATCAAAAATTTATACTTTTAGGCATTGAGTTTCATGTTGACCTTCACCGAATACCTAAACTGAATTATGATAAAAAACTAGTTAAGATAAAGGCCCTTATTAGAACTTGGGAAAGAAGAATTTTGACACCAATAGGTAGAATCCATATTATAAAGGCACTATTAATTTCTCAGTTTAATCATCTCTTTATCTCTTTACCAAACCCAGATGAGAATTTCCTGAAAAAGTTAAACACAGAACTGTACTGTTTTTTATGGAAAAGTAAAATAGATAAAGTGAAAAGAGATATAACTGTTAAAAAATATATTGACGGAGGTCTAAAAATGTTACATGTAAAGTCTTTCATTGAATCTCTAAAGTTAACATGGTTAAGGAGACTCTATACAAGTCCAAGTAAATGGCAAATTATTCTAAGAACTTCTGTTGATGATCATATTTTGGCTAACTGTGGAACTGAGTACATTTCAATATGTCACAATAACTGTAAGAATTTATTTTGGAAAGATGTTTTTGAAGCATGGATAAACTTATCAAATAAACACTATTCATATCAATCTCCAGATAAATTGGCCAAAACACCAATATGGTATAATAATGTAATTAAAATAGATAATCAGAGTATTTTTTATCGGGATTGGTACAATAAAGGAATTATTATTATTAGCGATTTAATCAATAAAGACACTAATTCGTTTTACTCTTTTCAGGAATTTCAACAGTTCTTTGGTATAAATACAAACTTTCTTAATTACCAAGGACTTATTTCAGCTATTCGAAAACATATACAGAAACAAGATTTACCATGTCCTATCTATCCTTTCATACCAATTAATCTAGAAATACTTTTCCGCAGTAAAAAAGGGACACAAGATTTTTATTATTTACTCAATAAAAATAATACAATATCAACTGGAAGAAAAAAATGGGATGAAGTTTTTAATTTTGATAATGAAACATGGAAAAAAATATATAAAATGCCTTTTCATATAACCAAAAATTCAAAATTACAGTGGCTTCAATACAGAATCAATCAACACATTTTGACAACAAACTCATTCTTATTTAAGGCAGGAATAGCTGATAGTCCTTATTGTAACTCATGTAAAACTGATATTGAAACAATAGAACATACCCTATGGGAATGTGATAAGGTGCAGGTTATGTTACAAAATTTTGAGTTTTTATTAGATGCCTTAATGATCCCTTTTGCTTACAATAAGGAGACTTTTATCTTTGGACTATATAATCAAGATGGAATAAGAACACCAATAGACAGTACAATTATTTTGATTATGAAACAATATATTTATTCAGCAAGATGCCTACAAACCAATTTATCTATAAATGGTCTTAAAAAAGCAATCAAGGACAACTATATTACACAAAAATACATTGCAACAGGTAAAGATGACAAACATAATAACACTTTTAAAAATAATTGGAAAAAATGGCAAAAGTTAATAAATATCTCCTGAATCTTCAATTTGCTGAACTTTATTTTAAGAATACTGTTTACAGTTATAATATGTAATATTATTGGACACTAGTATATGAGTTGTTTTGTATCCATTTTTCCTATCTAAAGACATCAAAATATTCTGTTTAGCTATTACTATACATATATTGACATTTGCAGCTGACGACACATGCTCTTTACTCACTCCTGTTTTCATATGCTAGTTATACATATAGATATATAGTTATTTACTACTGATTGCCTGACATCTCTCTCTCTCTCTCTCTCTGTTTTGTCCTTGTCTTTTTTTCATCCTCTGTCTTTTTTTCTTTCTATTAACCTTTCCTTTTTCTGCTTTCCTTATACAAATGCAATGTAAATGTAATCATTGGAAAAATGTATTAAAATGACAATCGATAATGGTGTGTGTGAAAGTGGAAGCGAGATTAGTATGTGTGA